AAAAGGTCGTTCTTATACTGTCATTGGGTTAAGCACAAAACGAAAAAAGAGATTGGCACAACCAGCACTCCAGCACAACAAACAAATGTTCCGAATACATATGCTGCGTTTGAGAATCCACATCGGATGCATTTTTTACATCTCTAGCGTTTTTTTATCCACATCGGACACATCTGTCCCATTACATTTACGTATACTGAATCACGTGGTCAAAGATTTTTTACATCTCAGATGCATCCGATGTGGATTCTCAAACGCGGCAATAAATACTGGTCAATTGAATCAAAAATATATTTTTCATTAGAAGTACCTTTTTTATTGTAAATGTTCTTAGTTCTATAATAAAATTGATCGTTTCCATGTGTCTAAGTTTTATTTAATATTCAACAAGTGAAAATTCACATATAGAAATGGAAAAAATAAGGTTATGTCAATTTCTCCGACGGCATTCAATGTTTTAAATACAGTCCGGCGGCATTTATCAATGCATTGATAGCATGCCGCCCTGATCAACAAATCAGGTTAGATTTTCGGCGGCTTTTTTATATGTGATAAGACCATGCCGCCGGAAGACGGTTTTCGTTTTATTAAATTCAACTACCGCCGGCGGTCGGCTAGCCAGTACGATAATTAAAATGATGGTACAATAGTATCCTTAAATGAAAAATTCGATTATATTTTGTAAAATAAAGAAAATTCATGATACAAATGCACTAAAAATTAACATAATGTTATGTGAGCCATTTAGTTACAGTAAGAAGAACGTCGGTTGTCAGCGATGAGTGGGCCCCTGTCAAACTTAGGGAAGAACAAGAGAACGATCCCTTTTTAAAGAAAATAAGAGAATGGAAAGAGGAAAATCGTCGACCTACTTGGCAAGAGGTATCGAAACTCTCCAGTAGTTAAATCATATTAAAGCGAGTTCTTGAAAATTATGATGGTTCCGAGAACAGAAGACAGTTGGTCATTCCAAGAAGTAGAGTAGCTTAAGTACTCCGTCAGTTACACGACAGTCCATCAGGAGGACATCTTGGTGTTAGGAAAACCCTTCAGAGAGTTCGGGAAAGGTTTTACTGGATGAACAGTTCCGATGATATAAAGGACTGGTGTAAGAAATGTACCACCTGTGCTATGAGTAATGGACCTCAACGAAAAAGGAAGGCTCCCATGAAGCAATACAACGTTGGTAGCCCATTTGAGAGGATCGCCCTAGATATTGCTGGACCATTCCCGTGACCGAGTATGGTAATAAATACATTTTGGTGGTTATGGATTATTTTACAAAGTGGGTGGAAGTCTATGCCATTCCAAATCAAGAGGCCGCAACTGTTGCAGATGTATTGATAAAAGAGTTTATTGGTGTGTGACTCTAGAATGAATCTGCAAGTCAAATATGAATGTTAGAGGCATTTTTTCTCTTATTTAACGTCGGATTATATGGATACACAAGTTAGATATGGATAAATACATAGATATATTTATGTGTTTTGTTTATGTTCCATTCTGTCATAAAAAGACTCAATGAAAGTCTTAAGTATGTGTATAATTTTACAAAATTAGTAAATATTGAGTAGACCTCACTGTGTACAGGTATATTTTTAATAGAAACGAATAAAAAATATCTTAATGTTTGTGTGTACAAAAGAAGCAGAAGATAAACAGTAATAATGATAATGTTACAAAGTACAAAGCATTGAACTTATTTCTATCATATAGATAGCATGCGATAAAAATATTTTAATGAACCACAGGTGTCCATCATTTAAGTTGGCTCTTGATTTGAAATTTATCTATATTTAATTACAAAATAATATTAATTAACAAAATTAAGATTAGTATCACCTAAGCTCCTAGTATCACATTCCGGACCTTGTCGAATCAATCAAGTTTTTATCATTTTTGTTTAAAAAAAGTATCAGTCATAAGTAAGATAATTAAGTCTTTATAAAGTGATTAACATATTTATCTTTTTTTTTTTTTAATTCTATTTTTCATGACAGTTAACAGAGCGTCAATTCAAAGCCTAAAAAGAATCTCCACTAATGTTTATTTCGCGACTACAAAGTCATAACGCATCAATTTATAAGTAACTTATGACCCTTAATTCACTTTTGGCTGAATTAGAACCAAAACAAAAATAGTACGAGTACGTAACCCTCCAGGCATACTATTCGCAATTATGCGAGTAGAATGTGAACTACAATTAAAAGAAAATCAAAATTTTAACTGCACTAATAATCCAAACGCAAACCAAACCAAAAATGTTCATATTTCGGCCGTACTGGCCATATAGAAAATAAATGTCGTCAGAAACATTTTTCTTCTCAACATAATTTTCAAAATAATAAATTTCCAAGTCTCTTCAACTCAACCGAATTTCAGCTAAATTAAATTACGACTAATCAACAAAATTGCCCATCAGTAATAAGACCTAATCCAAACTTTAATAATCAACGACCCTCTTTTGTTCAATCAAATCAAAATAGATTTGGTAATCAAAGAACGCATCATTTACATTTCGATGTAATTTAGGTAATTTTTTATCGTGTTGTCAGAGGCGTAGCCAGCCATTTTTTATGGGAGGGGTTTTTGAGAACTATGGGGGGTCCCATCAAGAAAGTGAATAAAAACAAAAATTCAATAGCGATTAGCGCCAATAATATAGCGAGAATGGTGATGCAAAACCCCCCGTGGATACGCCACTGCGTGTTATACAGTTTCTGGATTGAAGTAGTCAGTGGGATCTGCTCTAATTACTGTTTGACCTATTTGCAATATTTTGTTATTTAAATTGATTAATTCTAGAAACAATATATTTTTCTCTGTAAAATCTTTCAAAATTTTTATAATCCTTTTCACAATCCATAGCATCGTCAAGCTACCCCACAGTGTAGTGAAAGACAGAGTCATTATCTCACATTAAGATTTGTTGATTATTACTTAATTATAACTATAAAATAAATAAAATTAGTTTACATTAAAAAGTCGGTCTTAAAAAAAATATTGTACGTCACACGACCGGAAATTAGTGTTTCACAGGTCTCACCAAGCTTGTCTCGACCTGTAAAACACTACTTTCCGGTCTTGTAACGTAAATTATTATTTCTGTTATCGATGTTTTAGTAGAAAAAAAATAAATTTAAAATTTGCGTTTTCCTAGTGTTTTTTTTTGTGTTCATCGTCGTGTTTGAATGAGTTTTTTTTATGTTTTTGTTTTTTTATAAATTTTTATTTTTTATGTTATTATGTATGGCTCTGTCTCCTTGTTCATATTTTTCTTTTATATCACACCTTCTGTTTATTTTTTAAAAATGTGCTTTAAGTTTCTTGTGTTTTCTTTATTTTAGTTTTTGTCTTTTTTGTTGGGTTATTTTATTTATTAGAGACTTGTTATGACAACTTAAGTAACAGTTCTGTCAAATAGGTCAGTGACATTTTTAGGGTTACTACTAAAGTTCCACTCCCCCTTATCTTCGCTATTCAGTGACATATCGGAATAATTTTGTTCTGTTTGAAAGACTAGAACAAATACTTTCTTATGATGGATTCAATTGTTCTATGACGTCATGGCTTACTTCCGGTTTTTCCGGAAATAACAGAAAATCGATTTTTTTTAATTTTAAAAGGAAACCCTCTTTTTTATTGTAAATTTAAATTTGTGGGACATTTTTGTATAATAATTGTGTATTGACAATTTTCTGTCAGCTGTCAAAATGGCCGCCATATTGATATTTTTTCTAAATATGTTCCTATTAATTCGTTTATGGAAAAACATATAGGAATGTACAAACTTTATAACATCTTTTTAGGCTTCAAAATTCCCATTGAGACCCATTTACCGTATACCAGTTTATGCATTTTTATTATTAGCAAACCGTTTAATAATTATTACATTCGCTTTTATCTTCGTTGTTAATTGAGATATTGGAATGAAAACTTATTTGTTTAAAAGCTTGGGACAAATACTCTCATATACTGGATTCAATTGGTGTGTGACTTCATGGCTTACTTCTGTTTTATCGGAAATAACAACAGAAAATCTCAATTTATTTTTAATTTTTTAATAGACACCCCTGTTTTTATTGAAAATTTAAATTTTAGGGACATTTATCGATAAGAATCATGTGTTGAAAATTTTCTGTCAGCTGTCAAAATAACCATCATATTCGAAACTATTTTTTTTAATATGTTACTAATATGATACAAAAATATCCCAGAAATTCAAATTTTTAATAAGAAAAAGGGTTTTCATTTAAAAATTAAAAATAAATTGAAATTTTCTATTATTTCTGGAAAAACCGGAAGTAAGTCATGATGTCACAGAATAATTAAATTCATCTTAAAAAAATCTCTTTTATTTTTCATTTTTTTTTTGTTTTCCAACAAATAAACATTCTAAATTTTTTTCAAAATTTTGCCCCTTTCTATAGAATTGTGTAACGACGCCCATGAGCACTGGTTTATGTAAAATACAAGATGAGGTCTTTTTTTTAGAGATATCAAGATGGAAGGCTATGTCGCAACCCCCTTAGATTTACGTTGGAATGTCTAATAGGTATTGAAATTATTTGTTTGAATATTAGGCTTGTTCTGATTTACCAAATTATTCCTCGCGCAAAACTTTTAAACTTTCCACTGGCCAGCTAGTATTAGGAGTTTTCAACATATTTCTGAAGAACCAGAACGGACCTATTATAATTTTGAAAAATTAAGCCCATCAAAACTTGAGAATTGTACAGTAAATAGAATTTCCCTTATTCTCTATCTCTCTCACTCACTCTAAGGGCGTGTATTTTCGATTTCAATTATTGGGCATAATGTAGAATGATTTTTGTATTGTTCACACATAATTGTGCATAATCCTTGCACTTGTCATTGGTACGGTGCCTCGCCTCTCTCGCCAGTAAATAAATATTGTAATTGTAAATATTTAAAAATGTCACGAATGAAGCATGAACCACATTGTCTATAGGCCATCTCACCTGTCGGCGCATGAGTACGATAGAGAGAGGAGTTATGATAGACCAAGAAAGCGTCTGATTCGTCCAACTGCGTCAGCCGAGTTTGTATCGTCATCGGCGTATAAAATTAAAAGGAACTTTTCAGATAGAGTTTGTAAGTCATAGTTAGGTATTGGGTGATTCTGTTTCGGTATTGCAAGGTTGTTTTCACTAACGTAATATAAATTATTTTGAGTGCGCGCGTATTTAACAATAGACCCAAATGTTGAGTGAAAATCAAACCCTAGCCATGAATAGTTACATAGAAAATATATCTACAAACTTAGAAAACAGCAGGTAAATACTGAATTTGTTTATATATTGCTCACTTCAGCTATTATTGTAGACTATAAGTGAAAGTTAATTCTTTAATTGGCCCAAATATTTAACACCATTTCATGTCTACAGTCTCAACCCTAACCTCTTTCTAAAATTCTACCATTTATACACATCATACGAGATTTACGACAATCGATTGGATATAATTTCTAAATAGATTCTTAGTGTTGCAATGTCACTTTTGCATCAGATGATTAAGATAACCTATATTATGCTGTAACATTTAAATGAAACATTTTTTACATGCTCTCTTATTGCCGGTTATTGGTCGATATAATCATGTGCGTTTTCTGACCAATGAGATGGCTCCATTTGGGCCTTACTGCAATCGTATGATCCCCAAGTACATGCTCATATTACTATTTTTACCGCACTCTTAGCCATTCGATTTTATAAATTTTAAAACAAAAACAAATTTTATTCTATTTATTTTTATGTAGGTATTGCCTAATTTTAGAACAGTGACAAAAACTATAAATGATCTCAATCATATGATATGTACTATTATTTCTCTTTCCAAGAATCGTTGACACCTTTTTATATTGTCAATATTTAATATTACGTGAATGCAGTGGTGTACCCAGGTTTTATTAGTCGGGGGGTTTAAAATATTTATAAAAACGCGACTTATGTATAACCTACCTAGGTATTTCCTTGGGGGAAAAACAGCTGTTTAATCTAACATAAATAGGTATCACGTTTACAGGTTGAAGTAGTTATTAACTATTATTTAAAAAAAAAAAATAGAATTTATTAATTATAAAAAACTTAAATCGGAGAACTTTTATGATCATTTTACAAATAGGTAAAATCGGTATATACAGATAATTATAGTAGGATAATCTTGTGGACACATCGTTTGATTGCCATGGAGACCACGTGAAGATGACACAGCACTTCTCCATAGGCCAGTAACTAGACATACAAATTGAAAAATTTAACATTAAGTGTAACATTTTTTACAATTCGTTGTGAAGTACCGAATGATACAGGGTCAGCAACATTGGCAAAAATAAAATTAATAAATTTTTGGACGGTAAAAACTGTAACATGGCCAGGACCGCCGAGAACCAGGTCGGGCTCCGAAACAATTCTCGAGGTCGGGCCTCGTGACAATTTTATAAAAAATTAGGCCCTTTTTATTATCACATTTCTAAAAAAAGGCCTTCCAGCAAAATCTTCTCCTCTTTACTGAATCTCTCTCTAAAAAAAGGCCTTCAAGCAAAAACTTCTCCTCTTTACTTGAATCTCAAACAAAAAGTTCCCCCCTCTTCTGAAGAAGTAAAAAACGTCCTTACCAAAGTTGCCGGGCTCCCACTTCAGCCCGGGCCCCGGGAATTAGCCCCGGCTACCCCCCTTCTTGTCGGCCCTGAACATAGCTGCAAATTTAATATTTAAGATCTAAAGCTGAATTTGCAGCTACTTAATGACTTAATTAACATTATTTGATCTCATTTAGCCACCAAAATATTAACATACTTGCAAAATCACAATATACTTACTCGTTAATATTTAAATGCCTGTGAAAATTTGCAAGTATTTTTTTTTATTTGTTTAAAAATGATATAATGATTGCTAATGATCCTATTCATAAGTTAGGCATGCTAGAAATATTAACATACTTGCAAAATCGCAATATACTCGTTAATATTTAAATGCCTGTGAAAATTTGCAAGTATTTTCTTTTTTATTTGTTTAAAAATGATATAATGATTGCTAATGATCCTATCCATAAGTTAGGCATGCTAGAAATATTAACATACTTGCAAAATCACAATATACTCGTTAATATTGAAATGCCTGTGAAAATTTGCAAGTATTTTCTTTTTTTATTTGTATAAAAATGATATAATGATTGCTAATGATTCTATTCATAAGTTAGGCATGCTATAAATATTAACATACTTGCAAAATCACAATATACTCGTTAATATTTAAATGCCTGTGAAAATTTGCAAGGTTTTTCTTTTTTTATTTGTTTAAAAATGATATAATAATTGCTAATGATCCTATTCATAAGTTAGGCATGCTATTCATTTTGCAACAGCCCACAACGTTGACAAACAGACGAAACTAGCATTAATAAATATTTGCAATTAATATTTGCCAAAATTAAATTATAAAACATGCCATCATCGGAAAGAATTGCAATTTTTCACAAGCATTCAAGGCGATATTAGCAAGTATACTGTGATTTTGCATGGTAATATTTTGGTTACTAAATAAGATCAAATAATGTTAATTAACAGCAATTAGTTACTTTGCCGGAATCATAAGTGGTTGCAAATTTAGCTTAAGATCTTAAATATTGAAATGAACATGATATTAAATTTGCAGCTATGTTACATTTTTGATAATGTTGCCAAACCTGTATCGAGTTGCAAAATTCGCTAATTTCGCTACTTTATCTTACCACGAAGTATAAAAATGTTAAATATTAAATTTTTAACCTGCTTACTGGCCTACCAAGGCAGGTTTTTGTGTCATTGGTGCTTAAGTGTGAAATTATATTTAAAAATCTTATTTTTCATTTCTACTTGTCTTTGTATAACCTCAAAATGAGGATGAGGTTGACTGGAATTTTCTTCTTGTAGGGAACTTTGTTCTATATACTGTTGTTGGATATTGGACAGTTGATTAAGAGGAACATAGTACCTTATGTAAAAACCAGAATAGCTTAAATTGGGATAAAATGAACATTTTAATTTACAGTTATTGCGAACGTAAAATTAAATATTAAAATTCCTACAACTAGTCAAATAGAAATTAAGAGCTGAAATTCAGCAGAGGTGTTCTCACTTTTTTATTAGTGAGGGCTGGGTACATAGATTTTGAAAACACCTTATTTTTAATACGATTTCCATGGTCTTATTTTACTATAATTAAAATACAGATAAGTAAATCGTTTAAAACTAAGCAGAATTCAAATAACGTACGAGTTTTTCAACTTTAGATACTTTAATTAGTGAAAAAATGGAATCAAAGCAGTTTATTGCATCATTCAAGAACCTTTCTGCCATCTTTTTCAATATTTAGATGGGATAACACGTAAAAAAATTGTGCAAAAGAGTGTGATTGATAAGTTTGATCTCTTTGTCTATTAACATATCAGTATAACATATACATTACAAATTACAACATTGTTCATTTCATGATCATGTGGTTACAAAATGCCACCAAAATATTTTTGTTTTTGGAATTACAGATTACGAAATTAGATGTCACTAATTTAATTGGGTTGTATTTTGCAAAAATCACAAAACAATAAAATAGCTAAAACTACGTACAGTAAACAATGGGGATGTAGTTTTGGGATAAAGAATAATAATATATAATATTGTAGTACTTATTGTATACCATTGTATATAGGTTCACCATCACTATTGTATAAAGGGTTGCATACTCTTCGGGTCATTAACCGTTTTAAGGTGGTAACACTTTTGGTTTCCTCTGAGAACCATTGTTCAAGGGTGGTGGTAACACTTATTTATTTTATGTTTTATGTAATATATCAATTGCCGCGTTTGAGAATCCACATCGGATGCATCTTTTACATCTCGAGCGTTTTTTATCCACATCAGACACATCTACTGCTTCTGCGTTTGTTTATCCCAGGTACACTGTTCAGATTACATTTTTTACATCTCGATTTCAAATGAGATGTGAATGAGATGTTCGTTCCATGCCAGAAAGTAAGTGTTCGTTGAAGCCAAGTTTGTCAATTTATCCTTTGTTTGTGCTAGCATGAATATAAAAGTGATTAATTTGTTTAATTTTTGTTTAGATTTCAAATTTAGGTTGATTTGTAGTCTCAAAAGTCAAATTTAAAAACTATAAACTTCTAACTTGTCATTGACATTTTATCACGTGACCAATAAAGTCTAGAGCGTTCGTTTATTACATCTACATTCAGATCTAATTCTCTATCACATCTACATTCAGATCTAATTCTCTATCACGTGATAAAAAATTCACAACATCTCAGATGCATCCGATGTGGATTCTCAAACGCGGCAAATGTAAGTGATCTATGTCAGAGGTTCGCCAAGAGACCTGTACTTACACGTGTTGAATATATTAGTTAAAGTTAAACTTCGTTTTATTTGAGAAGATACCGGCCATCCCTACAATATATTAATATATAATATAAAAATTGAAGATTTAAATTTTATAGACATTTTTTTAACAGTGTCAAAATAAATGATAAAAATTAATTTTTAAATTTTAAAACAAAAGTGTAACGCTTATTTAATTATATTTAATTTAGTTATGTAATGCTTTTCAATAATTTCATCATATAATTTGACAAAAATGTAAGTTATGTTTAAATGTGTACATTAGAAACTAATGAATTGCTAAACAATAACACATTCCTGGCTGTATTTTAGTTATTAATTTATTAAAATAATGTATTGTTTTAAGAATTACCATAAACATAATGGATCCGCTCCAGGTTCAACTTTAACATCGCATTGTATTCCTGTAATATATGTTAATTGATCCTGATTTTGACCGATATATTCGGAAAATGTGTGGTTTGGTTTTTATCATTTGACCTTTATTAATTAATGCAGTGTGTCGCTAATTCTGTTACCTTAATTACTTTAATTGATTACCCTCGCTTTTATTTATTGTAAAATATATAAATAATTGGACAGAAAAAGGTTTCTGTTGACGCAGTTTCTGTTATTATTTTCATTTACATTTTTATTTCTAAGGCCATCAACGTTTTAGTCGAAAAAATATATTACATAACAGTAAACACAGAAAAATGTTTAAATTCAGTACACTCGCCTAGATTATTGGCGTATGGAACATTTTAAAATCACAGAATCGGTTATTTGGAAGTGCGAAGATAGTGGTTTATTTATTTTAAGGAAATAATTCCTAGATGGGAAGGATATGCCAATGACATAGTCATCCTTATCCGAGGGAAACAACAAACCACAGTCTTTGAA